ATGTGGACAGCATCGAGAGGGTCCAGAGGAGGGCCACTCATATGATCAAGGGACAGCAGGGTAGGTCCTATGAGGAAAGGTTGCGGGACCTGAACCTGTTCAGCCTTCAAAAGAGAAGGCTGAGGGGGGATCTTGTGGCCTGTTATAAACTGGTTAGGGGGGGGATCAGCAGGTGCTGGGGCTTGTTGGGGAGGGTTTGAAGGAATGGTGAGGTGTACATGGAAGCCCCCTGCACATGTCCCCCCCAGCCAGTCGGCACCCACCACCACCAACAGTGCACAGCCCCAGCTTGCCTCACATCTGCTCTGTACTGCCCAGCCATGGCTTGTCCTGCCACCCCTAGGCACATAGTGTGGCTGAGGCGGCTCCTTCTAGCTGCTGCTGCTACTGTCCCCAGCCCCACGGTACTGGCGGGGGCTTCCCCCGTTAGGAGGGATAAAGATATCACCTTACCCTCACTGACATAGCCATTTTAGCCAAACCCCTGAGATAGATGCAGCTCTATCCATGGGGTGCTTTTGCCAGTTAGGGTTATATTGTTTTGGGAAAGTGGTGTGGAAATACCTGCAAACACCTGCTGACATCTGTGGATTGTCTGCTACTTGGCTCTGCCAACATAACTGCACCAGCAGAAGCTCTGCAGTGTGGAGGGGCAGTCCATCTGCTATTCTAGTCTTTGTGCTACTGCTTTCACATGGATGTAGACACCCCACTTCCATCAAATCAGTCTCTGGCTTCTGTCTTTGTTCAGCAGTCCCCCAGGTCCTGGTCTAGCCCTAGGGAGGGAGCATTTCATTGTTTCAGTTATCGGTACAGAAAGGAGTATTCTATTGATTTTTTTTTTTGATTTTTTTTTTTATTTTATTTTTTTTAAAGCGTCTTTGACAAGGGGGTATGATCGCTGAACTCCTAGGGGAACAGCAACATGTTGGCTGTTTAATAGCTGCAGTTATAACTGACCAATTATTTTTTCTGGAGTAGGATGACTTCTGCACATACATGCAGCTTGAATACACTGAACAGGATGGGACCTCTGCCCGGCTGAAAAAGCTGACCTTCTCACTCCCTGCCATGATGCAGGAACTCTCTTATGGAGAGGCCATCCTGCGCATTAGTTCTCTGCCCAACAACACATTAGTAATAGCTAGAGAAGATGGACTCATTTCCTTCTGGTCTCCAGAGTTACAGCAGAAACGAAGCAAAATGGTCTTTGTACGTATGTTTTATTTGCTTATAAATCTCTTGAGTTTTGGAGCAATGCAGGAGTCCTTGATTTTTACTAATGATTTATTTTTTCCTAATATGTCATTCTGAATTATGACATTCACAACTGATTTTGTTATATTGCCTGGAGAAACAGGGAGCTGCACTTAAAACACAGCTCTGTCATGCTCCTTACTCCAGAGTGATTTCGAGCAGAAACATTATAGATGGTATAGTGCTACAGTTAATTTGAATATAATAATGAGTGAATCTGTTGCACGTTAGAAGACATTGTAGCATAAAAAACTCCAGTAAGTGGAAACAATTGTTCTCTTTACTCTTGATTAAACAGATTTGGAAGGTTTGGCTTTGGTGGGAAGGGGAGGAGAAACAACACTAAAAGAAATTAATACAGCACGGTTCAGAGACTGTTAGGGTGGCAGATGCGTGATGTGCCAGGTCTTCCCTTCATGCCAACCAATGTTACACCACTTGACCCTAATGGGAATTACACTTGCCCATGCAAAAATGCTTGCCTCATCTCTTGTTTTTATTCTTAACCAGAACAAAGTGGATTAATGTAAAAGCCATGTTTTAAAATAGTTGTCCTGGTAATTTTGCTGGTGCTGAGTGCTCTTTAATTCGCATTACATTTAGTGGGAAGTACCGAGCACTTTGCAGGGTCTGGCTGAGAAGCCTGATGCTCTGTGTTAATTCTTCCAAGCCCATTAATTTTGGTGCCCATGCAAGCATGTAACCAAAAGCAGAATCCAGCCTCAGCTGTGGCATCTTGCCTTTCCATCTAACATACAGAAGACAACCACCTCTCTCGCCTTACAGGAAAAGCTCAGCAACAAGAAACCTAAGTGGGTGATGGATTTTGCTGTTATGACTCAGTACAACAAGCTCATCCTGGGAACTGGGTAAGTGTTCTCCTTACAGGAAGTGGGAGTTGGAACTGAAAATGGCAATGTATTAGCAGTGCTGTTGGTATCTGCAAGGCAAGGAAACTTGCTG